TTGGTAAAGTGAAGGGTCAGCAAAAAACAGGAAGGCCCTCAACAAGATGGCTTGACACAGTGGCTGCAATGATGGGCTCAGATATAGCAAGGATTGTGAGGCTGGCACAGGACAGGGCAGTGTTTTGTTCTGTTGTACATGGGGTCACTGTGAGTCAGAGCCAACTCAACAGCACCTAACAACAACAACAACAACAACAATATTTTCTTCATTGGATTTTGTAACAATTAAATGAGTTAATATATGAAGAGCAGTCAGGATAATGTCTAGCACATAGGAAGTCATCAATAAGCATCAGCTGTTACTGTTATTCAAAGATCACCTATGAATCCTTAAGAAAACTGCAAAACTGCAAATAGCATTTACCTCATTCTTAAGTAGACAGTTTAATAGGCAACTTCCACTTCTATTTGTTGACCCAAATGACAAGTCTTTCAGTCAAGGAGAAGCTACCTACAGATCTAACTGTCTTGACTATAAGTCAGTCCATCAGCCACACAGAGAGACCTCCTCCACTGTTTTAAATTGTGGTAAATACACATGTAACAAAAACATTTTCCATTTCAACATTCTTCACATGTACAATTCATTATACTTACCATGTTGTTCAACCATCACCATCATCCATTTCCAAATTTTTCCATCATCTGTAACAGAAGCTCATTGTCCCCTAAGCAAGGATTTTTCCTCCTTTTCCCCTGCCCCCTGCCCACCCCTAGTAACCACTAATAAATTTTCATGTCTGCACACTTGCCTATTCTGGATATTTCATATAAGTGGGATCATACATTATCTGTGCTTTTGTGTCTCATTTATTTAACTCAGCATAATCTTTTCAATAACTAGCTCTGGTGGTGCAGTGCCTAAGGCATTTGACTACTGATAACCAGAAGGTTGACATTTCAAACTCACCAGCTGCTCCATGGAAAAAAGATGGGGTAATCTACTTCTATGAAGATTTACTGCCTTGAAAACCCAATGAGGGTCTCTATGAGTTGGAATTGACTTGATGGAAGTGAGTGTAGGCATGTATCAAGACTTCATTTCTCCTTATGGCTGAATAATCGTCCATTGCATGGACAGACCACATTTTGTTTATCCATTATCTGTTGATGGACATTTAAGCTGTTTCCACCTTTTGGCTATTGTGAACAATGCCACAGTGAACACTTGTGTACAGGTTTCTGTCTGTCCCTGCTTTAAATTCTTTTGGTGAAGCACTTTTTGAATTGTGACTTCAATACTGACCTTCTATGAGGATCTTAAGATCTTACATGCCAAATCAGATAGAGGTTGTATAGTTTTATTCTTAGATCCTTTTTCAGAAATACTGGGGAAGAAACAAAAATCTAGGTTCTGGTCTTGACTCTTGAGCTAAGTAGACCTGTGACAGAATAAGTGGCTTTCCCTCACCCAGCCTTCCATCTGTAAATGGAAGGAATTGGATGAGGTGACTCCAAAATGCTGTGTGTATAACCAGGTTCCTTCTAATTTCCCATGAATTTATAGGGAGAAGTGTGGTGTCTTGAGAAAACTTGTTTTGGAATCAAATACAGATTATCTAATAATTCTAGAATCAGAGTCACAGGCAGAAGCCCTGCCCCTGGCATTCAGGACACTGTGTCACTGTAAGAGACATCCAAGGACTATACTGTCTCACACTAAAGTGCCCGACATTCATCCCAGCCATTTCAGAGCTTTACAGGCATTTCACTGAATTTGGGCTAAGCTTTGCATTTCACTGGTCCCAGGATAAAAAAGGAGCCCCTGGGTGGTATAAATGGTTAAAGCCTTCAGTTGTTAACCAAAAGGTTGACCGTTCAAGTCTGCCCAGAGCCTGGCATCCTGCTTCTGAAAAATCAACCACTGGAAACCCTGTGGCCACATCTACTCAAGACACACATAAGGTCACCACGAGCTGCAGTTGACTCAATGGCAATTTGCTTTTAAAGTAAAAGAAGAGAACTTTGTGCTGGTTCAGGATGCAGAGAACATGAGGTTGTGACCTAGGTTGTGACTGACATCTTGGTGTTTCAACCTTCTAAAGGTAGAAAAATAGGGGGAGAGAAATTGCTTTGTGTTTATGTTAAGGAAAATACCAATAAGGCAAGAGACCAGTGAGCAAGGGTCCCAAATATTTGTGAGCAAACTCTGATCATTCGGCACCTACCCAAGAGTCTGGAGATCCCCACTCACCCCCACTTCTAACCTGTAAGACTTTGGCTGAGTCCCCAAACACTTTGTCCATATCTAGTCATCTTACGATCACCTTAGAAAAAACAATGACTATAGCGGTTTGTGTCCTAGTCTTACAATAAGGATTTCTGTTTTAGGCCTATGTTTTAATTCCTAGGTTTTAATGTGCTCTATGAGTTTCTGTGAGTCAAATTTTCATCTGCCCTTACCTGCCAAGTCTAGTCACCAAGGGGCCAACCAGGAGGGATCCAAGAAAGCCTCCGAAGGGGAACATGGACACAGAGACAGACCACAGCAAGGTCAGGGAGAAATCACTCATGTATTCACCGCTTCTTTCATTGTAGGTAAAATTGTAAAACTCCTTCATGATCTAGAGGGCAAAATAAAAAAGAACACCCACATGCTTTGGCCTGTTTGGAGGAAGAACAATAGAAGTTATTAGGCCAACCGGGGGGGTAACATGAGGATGCAGATATCACCAAGAGTCAACAGAAGAGAGGGAGTTAGGACACAGTCATGAGTCCCACAGGGAGGACTGCAAGGCCTCTGACATGTAAACCATTCAGTACGATTCTTACACGAGAGGCTGCCGAGTGATCCTGCCCCCTCTATAAATGGCAAGGCTGCAGTAGATTTGAGTGGCCTCCTGAGGCCAGTCCATGAGTGTCCAGCTGAGCCTGGTCCACAGGTGCTCTCCATGAGAAGCTGGGAATCTGAGGACCTGGTTCATTCCAATGAACCAAGTTCCCTTGGGTCTGCATGGTACATCCCCTCTCATTGCTTGAGGACCCACTATGTGCATCGATTGTGCCCACAGTCCCACTCTCACGGGTTCCTCCCTTTTTCTTCAGGGGCTGTGTCTCCACCACATAGACCTACCTCCGCAGGGGAGTTGATAACAGCTACATTGTACCCATACTGGAAGGAAGACCCAAAGGCAGCGATCAGCGTGGCCAGGGCCAGCACAAGTGTCAGCTTCTGCGGAGAGATCATGGCTGAGTTAAGAAGCAGCCCTGGAGTCCAAGGGGTCTCCCACTTTACTTCAAAAGTCCCCAGTCTTGTAAAAAGACAAAAGAAAATCTGAAAATCTGTCATCTTTCAGCTGCTCCTATCTTGAAACATACCCTCTACTTACTTAGGTTAGGACAGGCTTTCTCAACTTTGATACTATACACATTTTAGGTTCCACAGTTCTTTGTTGTAGGAGGCTGTCCTGGGCATTGTAGGATGCTTACAGCATGCCTGAGCTCTACCCCTTAGATGACAGTAGCACATACATTAAAATCGTGACAACCCAAAATGTTACTAACCAATCAGTTGCTGTCATGTTGACTTTAATTCACGATGTCCCCATGTCTCAGAGTTGAACTGTGCTCCATGGGGTTTTCAATGGTTGATTTTTTAGAAGTAGATCACCAGGCCTTTCCTCTGAGGCACTTCTAAATGGGCTTGAACCTCCAACCTTTCAGTTAGCACCCAAGGACGTTAACCATCTGCATCACCCAGGTGCTCCAAAATGTCTTTAGATGTTGTCATATATCCCCTGGGGGAGGGCGGGGATGCTCCCAGTTGAGAACCATCAGGTCCAAAAGAGCCTGAAAAGTTACCCACTTTCATACTCCATCCAATGTTTGAATCACTTCCATGACATCCCTGCCACGTGACTGCATTTGCAGCCAATGTCTCAAGCTCTGCCTCACACACATTCTCCCGGAAAATCAAAGAGAAAAACAAATAGGAACAATGTAGTTATTTATGGCCACCAATTGATTTCCTTTAGGCCCTGCTGTCACAGGCAGAAAGCACAGTGAAGGAATATAAATTAAACCTGTGCTTAAATATAGATTGCTGGGGACTCTGAAACTCAAACACTCTGTGGTAATATCCCCCTTAGACACGTGAGGAAAGGGGAAATGCATTAAGGCAATCTATAGTGACAAGAGGGAATTCATTACTGAAGTCACAAAAAAGAAGATGAAATAGGAAAGAGCTTCGCTCTTGGTATTTTACCACTTCCATTTTGCATGTACTCACCACCATTTCTAGGCTAATTTCTCAGATGTTCCATTTTCTTACCTTTAAAATGAGGATAGTATCACTAGCACAGAGAGTTATTGCAAGGATTAATTATGAAAATATCAAGCTGTGGAGTTAAATTGTGGAGTTGAATTTATTGGGTGAGCCTGGGATGCTGCCCTCTGCATTCTCCATTAAAGACCTCATCTCCTCTGATGGAGTTTTCCCCTTTCTTGTGTGGGAGCTCTGATAGTGTAGTGCCTAAGGCAGCTGACTGCTAACCAGAAGGCTAGTGGTTCAAACTCACCAGCCTCTCCTCAGAAAGAAGTTTAGGCAATCTACTTCTGTAGAGATACCACCTTGGAAACCCAAGGGCTACTCAACAGTAGTGAGTTATTTATTTTATTTTATTTTTTTGGTTTTGTGTAACACACTCATTTTCATGCTCAACCCCACTGGGCCCCCGTGTGGAGCTGAGGGCTTCATGTCTTCCTCTGTACACTGTGCCACCACATCTAATAAGGTCTCCTTGAAAGAGCTAAGTGAGGAGGCAGGACAAGGAGAAAGAGAAACAGGTGTCCAGAGGGGACAGAGTTAACCTCTCAGAGCAGGGTGGGCAAGGTGACCCCTTCAAGAGACAGACTGGGAAGAGGGGCACGGCCATTCACTTCTGAAAAAAGTGACCAGTGAAAACCTTGTGAATAGCAGCGAAACACTGTCTGCTATATTACTGGAAGACTTGATGAAGAGCCTTCAAGAGAGGAGGGATAAAAAAAAAAAACCACTTAACACTTAAGTGACACTTAACCCCTCTCATTTGCCTGCAGCATTCCTTTTCTTCTGCCACCTTGAATAGTAAATTCAGCAGGAAGATTCTGGTAAGAAAGGAGCCAAGGCAGGCTACTCCAGCAGCAGACTCCGGCTGGAGTCTTCCCTCAGCCCACACCCTCCCCTGGTGCTGGAGTCAAAGAGAGAAGGTTGAGGAGGGGGTGACTGTGGGCAGGGGGGAAGGCAGGTTCCAGGGCTGCATGGAATTTTCTAAAGGCAGGAGGTGTGAGCACACATGTTCACACTCACACATACCCACACATGCACATATGTGCGTGCACACACACCACTCCTGGATGTAGGACATGGTAGACTTGCTTGCCTCCCATTTGAAATGCCCTATCAGGAGGAGCTCTGGTAGTGTAGTGCCTAAGGCACTTGACTGCTAACCAGAAAGCTGGCGGTTCAAACCC